ACTGATGATGATGACAATGCCGACGTCGTTTATGTCCGCTCGTATTACCGGCCAGACGATGCGGCTGAAGGATTGATTCAACTGTCTCGCCAACAATCGTCACAATTGTATCTACAAACACCAACACGTGCACCACCATCACCAGTATTGCTACCGCCGTCACCACGATCATTGCCGCTTCCCCAAGGATTTGATTCTGCACCGATACAATCACCGAGAACGCCGAATACCGCTCGACGACCACCAACACCACGATTTCCACGTTTATCACAATCCATCGCTCGGTTGGAAGGACTAAGCCGTGAGCGAGACTTGCAGCGGCGTGAACGAGAGCTCGAGCAAGAGCAAGAGCAAGAGCGTCAGCGACAGCTTCAACAGGAGCGGGAGCGTGAAATCTCCCGCGGTCGCCCCCTTTGCGCTATTTGCAAGGAAGACTTATTGTCAAGATCACCAATGATTCTTCCTTGCAATCACGTCTACTGCACCGACTGTATCCGGGAGATGTTCGAGCACCAACCATCGTGTCCCGTTTGTCGTACAGGTGTTCCATCAGTCGAGTGGTGCGACCCAATCTATTTCCCATAATTCAATATTTTTTAAATAATACAATTCTCATTCAATACAATTCAATTCACTCTCAATCAATACAATTCTTTTAAATAAATAAAAAACAATAAAATGAAAAAAAACGTCTTTCATTTCAAATTTCTTATTTTCAGGTCTCTTTTTTGTTTTTGGCTTCTCTTTCTGGCTTTCTTCTTTGCTTCTTATTTTCTGGTTGTTCTTTGCTTCTTTGCTTTTTTGTTACCAAGTTCTTCTTTGCTTTCTTCTTTGTTTCTTATTTTCAGGTCTCTTTCTTTTTCCTCTTTGCTTGACTTTCCCTTTTGTCTTCGTCTTCTTTTATTACACAGCATGCATGCTGCGTGCATGCTGTTACTATTGTTGGAATAATAAAACGCGAAAAACGCGAGGTGATTAGCGTTTTCGCGTTTTTCGCGTTTTTCGCGTTTTTGAACCCCCTTTTTTATACTACTGGTGTCATCCCTTCATGACGTGTTAGCAGAAGCCATTCAGTGTACGGTTCCAACGTATGTCCGCAAAAATAACCAAAAATGCCCATGGAAAAACAAAGAACTTCGGCATCTCAAGAATTTAAGGAAAAAGCGTGGGATTACTGGAGGCTGACCAATGATAAGCAGCCATTTGAAGAATTGCACGAGGAATTCAGTGCTAAAAACACGGAACTTTACAATCAGTATGTCGACAAAATGAAATCAAACTTGAAAAGTGATCCTTCTTCGTTTTGGAAATATGTTAACTCTAAAAAGAGCACTGATAACATACCGAAAACCATGCGATTCGGCGACTTCAAGACATCCAGCGAATCGGAGCAAGCAAATTTATTTGCGAACTTCTTTGGGAGCAATTACTCCACATCAACGACAACAAATAATCAACCGTCACCTCAGTCTGAGAACACCCCTTGTTTCCAGCTTGGCCTTGATTTTATCATGACTGAAATGACGAAGGTCAATACCAAGAAAGGTGTTGGACCTGACGGTATTCATCCTTTGATTTTGAAGGAGTGTACTCCGACGCTTGCTAGCCCGTTGACTAAGATCTTCAATGAGTCGCTTCCATCTGGCATTTTTCCCGACGAGTGGAAACGATCGAGTGTATCAGCCATATTCAAAAAGGGCGCCAGATCGGACATTGAAAACTACAGGTGGTCCATTCCACAGAAAACGTTACCAGCCGAAAAATCGAAAAACAGCGAAAAAACTATTTTAAAATTTTGGGATTGTCATGAAATTTGGTAAAGCATAGTATTTTGTTGAGCTAAACGTTTCCTGAAAATTTCACATGATTCTGATAATCATATCACCGATTTTTTGATAAAAAATTGATTATTACTCAATATTGTGAAATTGGAGTTTGAGTTTTGGATGTGTTTTCAGACTGGTCTTGAGTGATGGTATAGACAAAAAAGTTGGAGTTTAAATCATCATTTTTATAAA